AATGCCTTTAATGTCTAAGATTCGTTAAAAGTGTCTTGTATACATGCTTCGACCAGAGGTACATTACTTGGGGTTTGTAACTACGGTGACATGATACCAAGATCCCGTCACAATCTCGCTCTCGCATAAACGTTCCAACTCAGAAAAAATGCGAATGCGCATGCCCGAGGTAACTAGGATACTGGGATGTCCAGGTGGATCAAAATAGCTGCCCACGATATGACGGATTACGAGAACTATATTTTCTGTACATTTTCGATGTATTACATTTTTCACTATGATAGTGACAAGAAAAGTTTATTTTTTTCATTACAAACCTTGAACATTGATATGCGTCATGTCAGAAGGTCGTAGCCCCAGTCTCGCTATCTACGAGAAGAGACTTGAATGGGATCTTGACATGATGTCACCATACAGTACTATGCGAGTTGCAAACCTTAAGTAATGTACCTCTGCTTCGACAGAATAAATAATTTAAAGAAATAATCAGTAATATATGACAGAATAATAACAAGGTTACCTTTTCAAAAAAATCAGTATGAGAGAATCTCATCCAAATTATTGTGATATAAAATTGACTATGAGTTGTTGATGCCGTCTGTCGATGTATGTTTGAAATTGAGACTACATATTTAAATGCTTCGAATTGCATGTACACGCACACGGGGTCAATGCGATATGCGGGGGCGTGAGGCGGCTCTCAGATTGGTTTGTTTGTTATATAATCGCTTTCTTGGTAAATGTGGAGACGCACAAAAGGCGAACATACATATGTGAGGGCACGTCGCTGCATTTTGTTATCACGTGGACCTCACGAACCCACAGTCAGCAAAAGAACAATGCATCACGGTACATTCTTAGTTATCTTTGCCACTGAGTGGTTGTTTTTGCTCTAGCGGTCCGCCTAAAGTTTACCCTAGTATAAAAGACAGCTAAACTACGCCTAATCCATTGATAACGTGCAGCCAAGTTGAAATCTGGTTTGGATCAGTGATTTGACGGAGCTGAAATGGAGTGGCATCTAGTATCGGTGTTTTTTGTTGCAGCGTGTATGTTTCATTCTGTTATTCTGATCAAAGATGCAGAGATTGGTAAGTATGATGAGTGATCGCCCGCAATAATTCCCGGACGGAGCTCGCAGCACGGTGACGGGGTTACGGTCGATCGTGTTAGATTAAAGCGTGCAGAATTTCAATGAAGTCACAATTTGACATATATCATTGTTCGTGAGAACGATATATCGAACTAAATTTTCTAACTCAATATCCATGAAATATTCGTTACAAGCTTAGTCTAGTTTTTTTATGATACGTTAGTGATATCAGCAGCAGAGCGATCGCGGGATTTTGGAAATCTCTCAAGGTTGCGGCGTTCATTTATCTATGTGTGGGGTACATTAATCACCTGGGTGGAGTGTATTTATACTCTTGGTGGGGATATTCATCCCCTGGGTGGGCACATTTATTTCTTGACGAGTACATTTATCTCCTTTGTTTGGTGTGTATACCCCCTTGAGTGGGATACTCCCGAACGTTCCCAGTAAGGCGACAGCTAACACATTTTCTAATATGAGCATGCAAACTTCTTGTACGATAATTTCCGAAAGCGGTGCCTGTAACTATTAATCAAATTCTTTTTTTGGTATACAGAGGGAAAAAAATGAAATGTTTCATCGGCTGAATATTTTATGTTTTTTTTTCCCAAAACAACATTTATTACACAAAGGTGTAAGGCGTCAAAAAATGGAGTGTAAATTGGGTGGAAATATATTTTTTAACGACAACATTTGAACCTTGGGGCCGCATATTTGTCAATTCAGTGTACTGTGACGTCATAGAGTTTGTTATTTCCTATTCCCAAAGCGCGGTGATACCATATAGTTGATTTTTTGTTTGTTTGTTTTTTCAGCGCACAGCGATGTCATTGTTTGAACCTCACACTAGTAATACAACTAGTCTGTAATTTTATTAACAGTCTGAGTTTGAACGTGTTTTTTTTTTCCAGTCAATAGCCGCGGCGTCGTGATCCAGCGAGAGAATGATAATCTGGATAAAAAAGAACAGACTAGTCGCCAAGAATCAAATTCGACAAACTCTGCCACGAAGCGACACCATCACCTCCATATTTTAAAAGAACGCGTGGAAACACTGGTCAAGCACGCAGAGGCCGCGCCCACCGACGGTGCCAGTGCTAACATGGTGGAATGTCTGGACTGCAGTACTGGTTGTTACCCACTCCTTGGATCGTGCAGAGAAGGGTGCAAAGAAACGTGTTCCGCCTTGCGACTTGAGCCGTACTGCGTGTACAGAAGAGACCACAAAATATACCAGTGCCAGTGCACCACCAAGGCACAGTACAGACCAGGGCTGATTATCAGTGAGTGTAAATCCCTCCTTTGGGCTGACTATTAAAACCAGAGCTGGGTGGGCACCCTTCTATATTAGGGACAGCTGAATAGAAGATTTGCGGTTTTCAAGTAGGCGTGACATGCCGTTCAATTACGTTAACAACGCTGCGTGCTATAAAGTTCGTGCATGACGCGCACCTTCAAAAGCTCGTGTTCTTCCAATATTACAATAGTATTAAAGGGCGGCAGTCGTCGCGCTGCGCATGTGCGACATTTGTGTTAATAAACATTGATTTTCCCACAATCCAATGCGCTTTTCTAATGGAATCACAAATATGAGATTTGACCAGGGCGCGACTTACACTAATTACCGCCGATGACTCCTTCAATACAGTATAGACACAGTCCCTCTATAGATAGAGGGACTGTGGTATAGAGTATCGAACTACGCCTTTAACAAACAAGCATATTCTTCCATATCGCATTTTCAATATGTAAATCAATGATGACGCAAACAAGTTGTCGTCTATCGTATTGAACAGCTATCAATATATTCATCGCTTTAAAGTTGTTGTCATATTGCGTCATGGAATGCGCAGGTGAAAATAAATGCTCCTCGTCCCAGGGACCTTAACGCGACTTGGTGAGTGAGTGAAATTCACCCAGAGAGTAACATTATACCCGTGCATAGGCTTCAGAGCGTGCCAAATATCAAATAGTTTCATATTTTTAATATATATTTGTTTACAGCCGATGACTATTATGGTCTGGATTGTTCAGAAGGCTGCCTGGATGCAAATATGTACGATCAACAACGATGTCACCGCTACTGTTATTTCCAGTGTCAGGGGCCATGGTCTGGGTCGAGACCGTGCTACTTCGCATACGAACAGAGCGTATGGCAATGCGAGTGTTGGTATGACTGAATCAACGTGTCCGGTTGGTGACGACGAGTATTTCGAAAACAGGCTTTTCAGTTCATTGACCGGTAACTGCATTGCTAGAGTTTTCATTATTTTGAAGTTGTTTTCGGCTAATAATTAAACAATATCACTCTTTTGTATTATCAAGATGCGGTATATTTATATTTTGCGTTATATGCTTGTATTTACGTTTTTTATTGATAATTTATGAAATATTTCGGGAAACATTGTATGCAACATTCTATAACATTTTAAACTGGCATATTATAGAAAATAAATAACTTTTTCTACTTCTCTGTATTGTAGAAATAACACTACACGATACACTATTATTTCTGGTAGAGTAGTTCGGTTGAACTGTCGGGCTTATTATTGTTTTCTGTGCATTTCCACTGACTGAGAGGTTAGCTGTGTACGATGCGATTCCATTCTAGTAAGCAATTGTTTACCATTATCATATACCCCGTGTCACGCCCGGCACAGCGCGCCCGGTTTTCATCAATCAAAACAAAACGCGTCATTCTAAATTACATCGTGTGTTTAATTAAGTTCACGCCGTGATGAAATTGTAATTGCACCTATAAGGTATATGATAAAACATTTATGAATTGGATGCGGTCTTTGCAAGCCAAAGGCGCGTACGATTGGTATCCCATTCCCTTCTATGTCTATTAATGATCCATCACTTACGCCATGTCGGGTGAATATAATGGTTTCATTTGCACTACAATTAATGTTTTCTATGTAGCTAGGGAGTATGTATCCCGAAATTCACTTAT